CTTATATGGGAAATAATACTTTCATTTTACATGATAGTTATATCATTTTCTCTCATTTTGAAAATCGCACCCGCTATTTTTTCTTTTTCGCTTTTTAATGGTGGGCCCCACTTGAGAGTAATATTCCCCCACTTATATATATATATGTGTGTGTGTGTATATAGAGCTTATAATTTCTCAAACAACTTGGGATAACTTTATCTTCAACCACTAAATCATAACCGTACAAATATGGATTAATGGTGATAAAGGAAGAGAGAGAAAAAAAATCGTAACAATTCAAAGGTGAATCAATTAATATAAGAAAATAAATAAACAAAATGATGTAATTTTGGGATAATCGAAAATAAATATATTTCGAGCAACTTGATAAATATTTTGCTTATATATATATATATATAAGATAAAATTATTTTTTATAATATCATATTAATCTCAATTGTATGAAAAGAGACGTCTCTTATATAACATAACAATACCCGAACCGACATGGTTGGGTTTTTGGTAATCTTAACTTTATCCAGTTCTTATTTATGGAAAGTATAATAGCCTAAGTATTTGCAAATATTTAGAATTCACAAAATGTTGAAAATAATAAAAGGTATAAAACGGGAAAAAAATTAGTATAGCATATATATTACAATTCTATTTAATAATTTAATGTGCTAATAAAACTTAAAAATATAATAAATAATTTACTAAGTTGAATTATATTCTATAATAAAAAATCCAGACATATATAATTTTTGAAATATATTAGAACTCAATTTAATAATTTAAAGTACCAATAGAACTAAAAAATATCATAAATAATTTACCAAGTTCAATTATATTCTATAATATTTAATCCATTCATATCATATAATAATTTATTAAATGTTAGTAATCCAATTATTTTTGAGATTAATATTTTCACGTTGTACACTTATAAAAGTTTAGGAGATCATTGTAAAGAACTATTCAATCCAAAATTTTGAGTTATTGGGTGAGGTTGCATTAATGATTTGTATACGTCCTTAATATGCCCCCTAAGATGAGAACTCATTCGACTTGAAAGGTGGACAATACATTGACTTACCTACTTGTATTAAGAAACTTCATAAAATTTAATTAATTATTAACTAAATAGGAAACGGTGAAGATTGAACTCCTGATAACTAGGCTCTAATAAATTTCAATTCAACTCAAAAGTTTAAAGTGTTTGTTGAGGCTATATGAATGATTTTTATACTTCTCTTTTAACACTTTTTTTTCTTTTTATCTTACATGGCTCCACATGGGCTCCATATCTTTTTATATTTACTTAAAAGATAATTTTATCTCTTATAACATCAAAAATATTAATCTCATTAGTTTTTATGGAACTGTGAAGATGTAATCGATGCTAAATGACGAAATGGTCACAAAAATTAAATATTAAAAAGATATTCCTTGCAGCTCGGTTTATGGTTAATGAAACTCTATGTTGACCTTAATGCGTTATAGAATCTAATTACTGGATTTCTGGGTCGTTGTACAGTGAAGAAAAAGATTGACAAGGGATAAATTAAAAAACCTGCACCGTGGACAAGCATTAGATTTGATGACACCAGCAGTCCAGAAAGCACTGGATAGGGAAAAAATTAATATTATGGAATCAATTTCGGTACATCTATTTACTAAAATGAATATTTTTTTTTATTTTAACCCTTTTTTTTTTATATTATCTTCCATGTCCTAAAATTTTTTCTTTCATTAAAAAAAAAAACTTTTCTTATTTAATCACACATAAATACATCCGTTGTACCAAAAGTTTGCTCACTAGGTAGAGGGTATTAAAATGCATGTTTGGTAAATTAGTATTTGAAAATAAGTTAATATTTTAATATTGAACGATGTTTCTTCTAGCGAACTGAAGAACAATGAATGAGGAAGAGCTTCATCAACGGTATTTGTTGTTTTCTGCAATCAATTTTATCCACACATTAAGATATAACAAAATTTAGAATTTGGTCACTTTTAAAAGTACGACCTAAGTTTAGGGGAATTGGCAATAGAAATGGACATTACAACTTCCCATTATTCTAATCTTAGTTTGGGAAAATTAGTGCATATAGGAAACTTTCGCGTTTAACATTAGGTGTAGTTGTTTTAGACTTTGACGCCTTAGACAACGATCATACATGACAGGACATTTTTGAAGTGAATTCTTTGAGGGGACGTTTGGTTGAAGAATTTTTTTTAGAATAATAGGAAAATATAATAGATAGAGAAATGATTGAAAAGATAGATAAAGTGAGATAGGTAGAAAAATGTAAAAAAAAGTTGTTTGGTGGAGAAAAACTTTACTGGAAAAATTAGGTAACTTTTTTAAAATCTATGTTTGGTTGTAGATAAAATATAGATGAGAAAATAGAATGAAATGACAAAAACAACCCCGATACAATTAAAAATGAGTGTGTCGCAACACATCTCACTCCCCCTAACGTCAAAAACCTTACCGAGTCAAAGATGCATATCCGGTTTTCATCAAAAACCACGTGCAATTTAGCTTTCTAAACAGTACAGAAACATTGGTTTCTGATGCAAAGATGGGATAGACATGCAATTTACATAGATGGTTATTTGAAGAAAATCCTTTGAAACAAACATTAGCTTTAACAAAACCTTATCTCATATAGATGGTTAAATGGTGAAAAGACTCAAACCAAATAGCGAATTTGTAAGTGCATATGTTAAAAAAATTGCCTTTTTATTTTTCTGTGAATTGGCGTTGCTTCTTCTCGTATAATTCTTCTAAATTCTTGCATTTATTGATGGGTGTTATTTTGTCAATGAAAAAGATATAACTCAATATATAAACAACGAATCATATGACCAGTGAGACATCATACATTAATCCAAACTTTAAAACATTAAATTGATGGATTTATTTCTTAAATAGTCATTACTTTATTTATTTTTATTATTTTTATACGAAACTTCTTCATTGGCTTCAATCTCATAATTAAAATCTCAGCAATTTTTAATATTAATTCCTTGTATAAATTAAAAACAACAAGACATCACAACTGATAAGGAGAATTTAATTTCTTGCACATTCAAGAAACATTAGTTTACCATCAGCAAGCAATTATTTGTCCAAAACCAAGGCGAAACTTATTCGATAATAATAATAATATTAGTAACCACTCATCGTTCATTAGTCTTGAAATGCATTTGAATATTTAAATATTTTCATCGTGCAAATGTAAAATGTAAAAGAAAGTTCTAAACCGATAACAACGATTCAAAAATATACCTAATACTATATTTGAGAATAATTTAAAATTTTAATTTTGAATTAAAGTAATTCTTTACAGTTCAGTGACTATAAAAATTCTGAATTTGCCCTAAATAAAACTGTCTTCTACGAAAGATATATGTGATTTATTCAAAAATATATATACATATATTCAAAAATATACTGTACACACATACACTAGCCTATATACAACTGTTTATTTATTTATTAATTAATTTTTTTGGGGTTTCTTTTTCCATTGTTTGTCCTTATGAGTGAATCTTGAGGACTGCAGTTCATGCCACAGGCCACTGTTTGAGGTGGTAGAGTAATGGATCTCACTTAACTCAGAGCGCAATTTGGATTGGGATGAGTGCTATAATGTACAATACTATATATTTTATATTATCACATAACCACATTCTAGTAAAGTCTCCTGCGACCCACCCACTGGCCCCATCAAATTGAAGATATTTTTCATCACAGGGGCTAAAGAAATACCAAAAAGAAAAAGAAAAAGAAAAAGTGAACACATTTTATTTCCATGTGCCCCCGCACCCATTCCCAAATTGATAGACACTGATTACTAATTAATACTAAAAAATGTTGAAAATGAATAGTGTATTCTATGTACAAAAATAAATATAAAAATGTTTTCTTTTACTATATTTAATAAAAGAAATATCGATTACTTTGTGCATATAAGGGCTTGTTTGGTGAACATATAGGGCCTGATAATATAAGTTTATATTATACATTGTGACATTTTTAGTTGTTTGATGTGACCTTTATATAATATAAGCTTATACAATAGAATCTCTTAATACATCAAAACGATGTACAATGTAATCCGACCTAAGGGGAGAGATTAGGCCTGATAAGGAGTTAGCGTATTAACATTGTTGACCAGTACAATTCTCAACAATTAATATATTATTTTAATTAATTTTTAAATATATTAATTTTTAAAATCCAAGCCTTATACAAATGTATGGTGTATAGTATTGGATCACGCTTGATAGTATAAGATTTGATTGTATAAAACTTGATTAAATTTTAATACTATCCAGCATTTGGTATGATATTATATAAGATAATATCCTCCAATATTTCAAAAATTAATATATTAAAAAAAATTATTTTAATATATTAATATTGAAATGATATATTAGTTCTTGAGAATTGTACTTGTAAGCTATATAAATACATTAATCCCACCTTCTTTTTACAAAATTAATACATATTTTACGATGATCACATCAAATAACTAAAAATATCATAACGTATAATATAAACTTATACTATCAAACTTTATGTGTCACATCAAACAAATTATATTATCTAGCAGCAAACGTATAAAACACCAAAAATGTTTTCATGTATGGTATGGTCTGGTCTAGTCGTACCACCTGCATAGAAAACCGTGACCATTCAAAGCCATCGAGGTACCATTTTTCTTAAGTCTTGGCTTATGTTATGACCAACAAGAAAAAAGAAAAGAAAAAAAAGAGTGATGGAAAAAATCAAACATTCTTGTGATGATGGTTCATGGATGGTGAAGAACGACTGCGATGAGACTCACACCCAGTTGTCATCCCTCAAAAAGAAACCTTTTCTTAGCCCATCCCGTGCCATTTGAAAGCGATATTTTTCATTTTAATAAAATAAATAATAATAGTAATTAGGATTAAACACAAAAGATATTTTTCGCAGCTTTAGAAGAAAAATAGCCAATAGAGAGAGAAGGGGTCGCGTTAAGGCACACAAGCTTTAAATGCAAGTTGGTTGATGTTAGTTTCTTTCAATCTTCTTCTCCTTACGGACTAAGCATTGTGCAATTGCGGGTCTCTTCTTCTTCTTCTTCTTCTTTGTCCTTCTTCTTATTTTTATTGTTATTATATAACTCTCCCTTAAACCCAATTCTTGTGACATCAAAAACGCATCCCCTCTTTGGCTTTTTTCCTTTTTGGGTTTCCAATTGGCGTTGTTTCTTCAAATTCGTTCGATTTCTGACATACCCAGATGGAGTTTATGGCAAATCCATGCCCTTTGCGTTCATCTTTGTTCGGTTCCTTTGGGAATCTTGTTGAGAGGGTTACACAGATTGGTACCCTCGCTGTTTCTGCTGTCATTGGGAACATCTTCTCCGCGATCTTGACTTTCTGCTTCGCATTAGGTTCGATTCTTCTCCCCCTTCTAATAACCTTCTTTCTCGTTCGTTACATTTCCCCCCCACACTCTTGATCTGCTTCTGTTTTCCTCTTATTAGGGGTTTGTTCTCTTTTTTGGGGTGAATTTGTCAATGTCAATGTCATTGTGTAGTGTTGTGCGAGATTGTTATTAATTTGTGGGGAATAATTCAGGGCATGAGACAGAAATGCACTTCATTTTGTTCTTGTGGAAAAAAAAAAATGAAACTTGGGGTGTGGGTCAGTTGTTTGTTTGTTGGATTGTTTTGCTTATGTTTTACTTATGTTGTCTTGTTTTGTTATTAACATCTTAAAAGAAATGTCCGAAGTTGTGGTTCATCTTTTTCTATTCCTCGTGTTTTAAACATTGAGCTGTGGCTTTTAAGTGCAACGAGCTCTAATGGTTTGTTTTTGTGTGCAGTGGGCACTTTGTTGGGGGCTATGACTGGAGCTTTGATAGGCCAAGAGACTGAGAGTGGCTTTATTCGAGGGGCTGCTGTTGGTGCCATATCAGGAGCTGTTTTTTCCATTGAAGTTTTTGAATCCTCTCTTGTTCTTTGGCAATCTGACGAATCTGGAATTGGGTGTCTGTTATACTTGGTGAGTAATTCAGCTTAAGGGGCCTTGTCAAAATGTTATCTTTTTGTTGGTATGGAAGCTTATCATGTAGCTACATGATTGAGTTTTCTTTATTGTTTACAATGGCATGTTCTGTAGCCTGATATTTTTGAGTTATGTAGATTGATGTTATTGCTAGCTTACTGAGTGGGAGACTTGTGCGTGAGAGGATAGGTCCTGCCATGTTGAGTGCTGTCCAAAGTCAGGTAATTTGCTTTGTACAAAGGACTTGTTACAGTGATGGGATACAACTTTGCTTGTGTTGTCTCTCATTTTGCTGACACCTTTGCTCTTCCCTATCAGATGGGTGCTGTTGAAACCAGCTTTGATGAGGTTCAAAACATTTTTGACACTGGTGGTTGCAAAGGTTTATCAGGAGATTCGGTTGAAAAAATCCCAAAAATCAAAATTACTACCGCCAACAATGTTGATGCATCCGGTGAAAGAGTTTCTTGTTCAGTTTGCCTCCAGGTTGGTTTTTCGCAGTTTTCTTTGTTAATACCAGTTCTTACCTATATACCTTGAACAAGTGTTACTAAGCTTTTGTGTATTTTGATATTAACATTTCTGAATCTGTGTAAATCCAGGACTTTCAGCTTGGAGAGACAGTTAGAAGCTTACCTCATTGTCATCACATGTTTCACCTACCTTGCATAGATAAGTGGCTCTTTAGGCATGGTTCTTGCCCATTATGCAGAAGAGATCTTTAATTTTGTATATGAATAGCATAGACGGTAAAAAAAGTTATTTTTTATTTTTTGTTTATAAGCTTATTTAATTCTAGGACTTACACTCGGTTGCATTTAGTCAGAGCCATTGCAGTTATGAGTGGTATCATTGTACTAAATTAGTGTAAAGAAAATTTTGGGATTAAACTATTTCTTCTTCTTCTTCTTCTTCTTCTATGAGGGGACGACCCTTTTTCCAAGCCCGATCTAATCTTTTTCTATTCTATTATATCGTTAGTTTCTGGAGCAAAGAACATGAGGATGTAAATCATATCTAAGTGATTTTAATCTTACCAAAAGTTAAGGAGTCTCACTTGTCTGTTTGAATTCAAGATGTGCTATGGACATGTGCAAGTGATTGGTTATTTAAATTTAGGCAGATTTATCTTCGAAGGATATTTGAGATTTTGCACATTATGAAAGTGGTTCCTCCTTTGTTATTATAGAAATAACATTCATACAACTTCTTTTCACTTACGCCCCACAAGCAGCTCCTCGAACAATTTTTGGCAAGCCAATGTAATACTAAACTTGTCCCAACAAGTAACGAACACTCATGAACAAGTGTACGTAGTTATAGTATTTAAGTGTCTCATCCAAATGTCATCCATATTCATCAAACAAGGTTACTCGTATTAGTGTACCATAATTGAATATAATGTAGAAGTAATCCACAACTTAGAATGGTAACTCAGTTGAAAAGCCTATCTTCTCCAATAACATAGTAAGGAAATGGAAGTATTTCATCAGATTTTCGTAACGTACCTGTAGTTTAAATCGCCTTGTCTAAACCTTTTTTTTTTTGCAATTCAATTTCAATAAAAACTGCCGGACTTATTCTAGATGAGACGAACGCCTAAAGACTGGACAATTTGACTGGTGAAATCTAAGGTTCTTCGAACTATGTTTGTGAATATTTTTTTAGAAGGAAAGTTATACTTAGAACTTATTTTCATTTACAACCTTTTATAATTATATCTTAATCGTTGATTTTTGCCAATCAATGATTATTATTTATTGTGAATTAATAATTAATTATTAAGTTTGTTTTATAAAAATAATAATTGTTGATTGACGGAAGTCAACGGTAAAAAGATTGTAAGTATAACCTTCTTTTTTTAATGGGATTAGTGTTTCTCATATTGTAATAAATAATTTTATCTTTTATATATACATAAAAATTTATGGGGTCCATATTCTTTTTTTTCCTCTTCTCTTCTCATACGAGCCTTATATTTTTATGTATATACCAGAGATAAAATTATTTCTTATAATACAAGAAACATTAATCTATTTTTTAATACATGTATATATTCTAAACAGTCGATTATATGTGGTCATTGATAATACTTTTTTTATTTATTTAAATAATACCACAGAAAAAAATTCGAAAGGTATTAAGTAATTTTTGTTTGTCTTTTCCTCTTTAAATAAAAAGGCCTATGTTTTCACCACAAAAAAAGCCTATGTTTCAAGAGGATTTATCATTTATCAGACCTTGAACAATAAGTTTGTCAACGAAGTTACAGTGATGGATGATTAGGAAACAATCAATTTAACGAGTAGGGTTATATTAATTTTTTTTTTTTATAAATTTATAAACTGTATTATATTTGACTGATAACATTTTATTTAAAGGGTAATAATTTTCTTATGTAGTAGAAGATAAGAGTTATCTTCTACACACTCATTAGTATATGTGGGGTCCATTTTTAGGGAAAGAGAAAAAAAAAAGTAAAGTGGGACTCATCTTAAATTTGTGTGTGTAGGAGATAGATTATATTTATGCAACATAAGAATAATAAATTCTTTATTTAAAACTATATTACTGATTAAATATAATATAATTTATAAAAATTTATAAATTATAACTGGTTCTAATTTAACAGAATTGAAACTTTATTCGGGTTCAAATGTTACACCGTACACCGGCAAACTGTAATGTAATATCATATCATATCATCCAGTCACCAACCCCAACAATGTTGCCATCATCCATTCATCTGCCACATTAAATAGTCGTGTCCTTTCGCAAACCGAGATTGATATTTTCATGTAGCTTGACTATTTGAATGCTGACAGTAAAGAGCATGACTTGAACGCTATATTTTCAGTATTAATAGGATTTTTAAAGGGAAATATTTTCTTCTTATGAAATAGAAAATATTTCTCCTACTAATGATTTATGATTATGAACTATCGACACTTCAAAAATTGTGGCGTGCTGTGTTTGATACTTTCTGACACTCTCCGACACTCCGACACTTTTCGACATTCTAAAACTCGTTATAGAAATTCAAAACGAGATTCAAATGTTGCGTTACGTTAAGTTTTTAGTTTCAACTGATTGATTCATTAGATTACGATTATCATTTTATTGAGTTTAATATAAATATTTAAGATATCTTATGCTTTTTGCAAAATTAATGAATATTATAAGTTTAGTTTTATTTTTTTGTTAAGTTATTGAATATCAAATATAATATACACTACATAAATTAAAAATATTATTTAATATCAAAATGTGTCCTAACGTGTCAAAATCTAACATTTTTTAGAATTAACGTGTCAGAGTGTCGTGTCGTATCGTGTCACGTGTCCCGTGTCGATATCGGTGCTACATAGATTCATGATTCATAGTATAAGTGGATTCTACTTGAATTTTTTTTCTTTCCATTATTTTTGTAGACCTCATTTATACTATGAATTTTTAGTAGGAAAATTTTTTTTTTCTTCAAAAAAAGAAAATGTTTTCCCATATTTAAATGATGAGAAATATTACTCTCTTTTTGCATAAAATAACATATCTCATGCTCCCTTACTTCGATTTTTGCTCTCCATCTTTTTTTTTTTTTGTAATGGTGGGACTCACCTATGTTCTCTCTACAACATAAAATTACTATCTTATGTGAAATGAGACTAATAAAACCCTTAAATGATAGGATATGATTTTATTCCATAAGAAAGAATATATATATATATATATATATATATATATATATATATAATAAAATTATTAGTTATATGAAAAAAATATTTTTCTCTCTTTAGTACAACCATATTTTCTTATTTAAAAATAAAAGAAGATCTGGACAAATTTGAATATTGATTGAAGGTATATCATGCGAGGCTGTTTGCCTCCTATCATATCTTATCTCATTGTTCACTTCACTAATATAAGAATACAATATTATGAAAAAGAAGAACGTAAAATAATTATAATAAAATTTATCATTATTTATAGTAAAATAATTATAAATTTTTTTATCAATATTTATAGAGAGTTTACATATTAGTATCTTTATAAGTTATTATAAAACGTTTATTAGTTAATATATATATATATATATATATATATATATATATATATATATATATGCAAAATTACTTTTACAATTGTTATACATACAACAGGCCAGGATACGCACACGCATGAGAATTTACACATTACACATGCATACGATACGAGTTACTTGTCAAAGTTTCATGAGCATTTAACTATAGGAACTTACCATTCCTAGCTTAAAATAATGTACATGGACCATTCTAGCTGTCCTCCAATACTTTCTTGGTTTTATTTAGCTGTGAAGCACATGGCACACATATGAAGGAGAAACTATGGTGTAAGTGAAATGAATTACCGAGTGTCAAAGCACAAGCAGATAACTCTTTTGCTCTTGAATTGGCCTCCCAATTAAACATAAATGGATGTGCAAGTTGAAAGAAACAGTGGTGGAGCCTGCATTAGCTCTATCAAATTGACCTTTGCTTCTTTGTAGCATAAAGTTTCTGACATACTATTAATGCCTTTGATATGAAGTGAACTTTGTTGCATGGGCATGTGAATGCTATTAATATAACCTTTGAAAATTTCAATTTTCAAGCAATTACTTACGTAAATAGACAAAATAAATAAATAATTAAAATAAAAAAAGATCAAAGCTCATAGGTTTAGTCATGTTGTAGTTATATATACCCTTGGGTATCTTTCTCATCAATACAGATTCAGTGCCTTAAATTGCTCAGAATCTTGTCTTCTCAGCGACTAGTGGGCTCACAAGGCTGGAAAGAGATTCCATCAGCATGTCTATTCAAGTTTTGTAACCATGCTCGTGGCAAGTAGCTAGGAATATCTATTATTCATTAACACTATATCACTCTGTTTGTACGTTGCATCAATATCATATAACTTTGAGCAATTAACAAGTTAAGATGTGTTAAGGCCTATTTCTTGTTGTTGGAAATCAACAATCACGACAAATCGAAAAATAAAAGAGAAAAAGAGAGAGAATTTTGACACGATGATTTATCTCGATTTACTCAATGTAGATTACGTCCAGCTTGTCTGAACTATATCCATCTCACTGCTACTTGTTACAAGTCACCCTTTTTCACCTCACTACCACACAAATCGACTTCAATTGCCTTGCTGACCCCACAATAAGAACTCTTTTTAACATACAAAATATGAGTTATACCCGACACTTGTTTTTACTGAAAATGTGTGCTTTGAGATGTTTATATCGAATTGAGGGTACTCCCCTTAAGAAAACATACACTTTTATGAAAGGGCATTTTCAATGTGTATGGGTTTCATATGTGACCTTTCTACATAATCATAATCTGTGAGCTGCAATTTTTAAGCTGATGTTGTCATCCTTGGTATCTTGCTCTATCACTTCTAGGTTTTCTAAATAAACTTGTTGGAAACTTTTTGATGTTTTAATCCAAGTTCACATAATCACATGTGTGAACACAAATTTGTTTGGAAGTGAAAATAAAAAATAATGAAAGAAAGAGGTAAACTTAATCTCGTCATTGAAGTCCACTATTAGGTAAGTTTTGCTTCTTACCTCTCCTTTGCCCCTATACAAGAAGTCCACTATTAGGAGTTAGAAAAAATTAAAGTGAAATGATTTCTGATCAATTGCAGGAACTTTTTATCCGCAAAGAGAAAAAGTTTTTGAGAAAGAAAAAATTGAGTGGGGTTCTTCATATTTAGGTGGTGTTTGGTTCAAGTGAAAAATTTAGTTCATCATAGAAATGTAATTATAAGGGAATATATCTTTGGTGCTACTGTTGTATCTAGATTCAGTGCATCCCACCAATAGAAGCATTAAACATCAGAGGAAAAAGAAAAAAATGGCAGAGAAAAGGAAACTTTAGCTGACATGTAATATTTTTATTGATGGAATGTACTGAATCTTTGGTACAACAGTAGTACCAAAGATTTATTCATTACCAGAGATCTACATGGAAAGTGAATTAGATAGGAAAGTTAAAAAAAAGTTGTTTGGTTGGGCCAAATATTACCAGGCAAATTGATTAAAGTTTTTGAAACATATGTTTGGTTGAGGGTAAAATATTGATGGGTAAATGATATATAATTACAAATATAATCCCATAATAATATCCTATTATTAATACAAGTGGCCAGTGCGTATTTACATGAGGGTATTTTGGTCTGCTTTGGGTTGCCCTTTTGCCATTTAGCCGGCTAATCAAGAAACACCACCTCCAAGTTGTCTTTCCTAACAGTGAAAAATACTTGCTTTCTACGACCAAATCTTGAATGCTATGCAAATATAATAGATGGGAAAATTTTTGAAAACAGTCTACCAAACATGGGTGTCTTACTTTGCCAATTTCATTTGCATAGACAACTTTTCTCTCATTCTTTTTATTCTTCAATGTGGCAGCAAACAAATGAATTTTTCTTTTGAAGCAGAAATCATTTCTCCAAAAGTTAAAGCAAGTATAGAATTAAAGCAACTAAGTTTACTTTCTTTCTTTTTCTTTTCAATTATCAACATTTATTGCGTTCCTTCTTTTTCTTTCTGTATTTAAGTTAATTTTTATCATTATTTTTATTTTTTTATTTGTTAATGGATAATTATTTTTAAATAAAGAAATAATTCAGCTGTAATGACATATTAACCTTGAAAATTTTAATTAGCATCATTTGAGTTGTCTAAATTTGGTAGACTAAACTTTTTATATTAATTTTCAGAAAAATATAAACTTTTAAATTCATTATAATAGAAGAAAGCAGTTTGACCGGGACTACTTATTAATCCCATTGTTTTTATTTAGGTTACTTTAATTGTGAAACTTGATAAGCTAAATTTATTTTATATTAAGAGGCAGGATCCTTTGACACCGGTGTCAAAGGAAAAGTTTAATCATGAAAATAATTTAATTTTATTAAAAATAGGTGATTTGGTAGTGATAATTTATTAAACATTCACTTATATTCTATTTTAAATGTAACAACTTGATTATCTATTTTTTGAATAAATGTTGCACACAAATTAAAAAATTAAAAATAATTTATTTTGATAAAAAGAATGATTTAACATAACATTTTCATTCAAATAACTTTCTAAAAAGAAATAAAACTTTCAAAAGAATTTTACTAAAATTAAAATCAACCAACTCATAAATTTTATTTAAGAGCTGGCAGCTGCCATAATAAACTCTTACGGTTTAAAACTTACCTTATAATTTGTAAGAGAATATTTATTAAATGTTGTCATAAACAGAATCGGGACAGTAAAAAATAAAGTATGGAATTGTCATTAAAGTTTATTTAGAAAATGTTGAAAAATCATTAAAAAAGTTGGTGTTTCAAGACAATAACATATCCGGAGTCGATAATGGTTAGGAAAAGGGAAAATGATCTGTTATAATATATAATTATGTATTAAGGATAGTATACAATTATAATATTGAAGTCATATTTTTTTCCTCTCCTTCAGGTATTGTTTGTTGATATAAAAAGTGAAAAAAATATAATTTTAATAGGGTTAAGTTATTCTACTTATCATTTTTTCTGCCTATTTTTTCCTATCACCCTCCAACATGGTTAGATCAAAATTTCAAGAATAGAGAGAAAGATAAATGTTAGTTAAGATTCTGATATAATTATGTGTAAAGTGGTATGTAAAGATAGACAGAAAAAATGATAGGTAGAATAACTTATCTCATTTTAATATCTACTACTCTTAATACATAGAATATAAGTGCCTATTTGTATCCTCTCTTTTTTAAGCTAGAAGCTCCTTATAAGCATAAGCTAGGCTAAACAGGTTTTGGGAAAAGCTCTTATAACGAAAAACTCTTTTTTTAATAATGAAGAAAAAAGCTGAAAACTAAAAGCTCCTAGGAGGAGCTTTTTTTTAAGCTCTTATTTGTTTTTCTTGAATTATGTATTTTTTTTAAAATGAAGAGTGATAAAGATAGAGAGAGATAATTTTCTTGAAATATGTGCTTTTAAGTAATTTTTCAAGCTAAATTTTTTATGTAATTTCCAAACAGTTTTTAGCTTCTTTTTGTAAACTCTTTTTTTTTTAACTTTAGCTTATAAGTAGCTTCTAACTTAAAATAAGAGGATCTAAAGAGGCTCTTTTTTTTTTTTTTTGTAAATAAAGAGGGGCTAAGCCCCAGAAACAGAAAGAAATTACAAATCAGAAACTAACAAGCTAGACATATTTCTAGCATCAGCAACTATAAGTTCCATCAACTGAGGAAGAGGATCTTTAAAAATCTTGAAATGGAGATTATTAGTCTGCCCAGCTTTAGCTAACCAATGAGCACATTTGTTGTTTTCTCTCTTGGTATGAACAAGATGAATAGTCCGATCTGCTTTTAACCATAATCTCAATCTGCTAGTGACTTGAGAGTCCCTAGGATCTTCATGCTGCTCATTTAACATCTGGATGGCTTGGCTAGAATCACATTCTAGCTCTATTCTTTTTAATCCTGTTCCCCAAAGCAGTTCCAAACCTTTCAGTAATCCCATAATTCTGCATCAAGAGGATTGCAGGAACCTAAATTACAATAGAAGCTTCCCAAAAAGGATCCATTGTGATCTCTTAATATACCACCACAACTAGCTTTTTTCATGCCACTAGAAGAAGCTCTATCACAATTCAACTTAACCCACCCTTGCTTGGGGGCTGTCCAAACGCTATCGTTGGAATCACCACGGCGCTGATAAATTCGAGCTTGCAGAATTTGTTGGACAAACATCCAAATTGAAGCCTGTGATTGCTCATCATGACAGAAATGATCTTCATGGATCTCCAAATTTCTCCACTTCCACAAAAACCAACAAGTAGTAAAGAAAATATCCCTCCAGTCCTTCACTTTATTGGAGGACCACATGTTATCGATATTTAAAGTCAACCAATCCTGCAAATTCGAATTCATAAAGGAATTGGGTATCGAACCTGTAAACCAAGATTGCCAAATTTTCCTAGCATGTCTACAATCACGAAGAACATGAATAATAGTTTCCTCATGATTTGGACAACTGGGACAGACATTTGAACCTCCGCTCCACTTACTGGTTCTGCTGCGCACTGAAAGTTTAGCAAGCAAAGTCATCCACATAAACACTTTCACTCGTTTTGGTCCATTCCACGACCAAACTTTTTTCCATACGCTAGTGTGAACATCTGCTGGGAAGTTCATAAGATTACAGTAAGCGACCTTAACCAAAGAAGTTGAGTGATGATTATTGATCCAAACTAATCTATCCTCCCCATTCCTTGGAATAAGCCTGAGATGATTTGTTACTGCATCAGCCAAATCTGACTCCAGAAATTGATGAACAACTTCAAGACGGAAACCATCATCCACCATGTAATCTGCAATTGATTTCTGACTCTCCTCCCACGACACCTGATTGCTCGACAACTGCTGCAAATTTTCCTCCCATCCCAACCAGTTATCAGTCCAAAGCTTTACTTTAGAACCATCTGCTATTTCCCATCTAAGTCCAGCAAGGAAATTACTCCAACATTTAGCAAGATCACGCCAAAGTTTAGAGTCATATGATTTTGCCTTTATACCTCTCCTTAAGTCTTGACCTCTACCATACTTGGCTACTAAAATCTTAACCCATAAATCATCTTTCTTAGTTAACACCTTCCACGCCAGTTTATGAATATAAGCTTCATTTTGGAGTCGAAGGTTAATTATTCCCAAACCACCTCTATCTTTGGGTTTATACATTTGATCCCAAGCTACTAAATGAGCCCGCCTTCTGCTATCCTGATCTCCCCAAATGAAAGCCCTTTGTATCTGCTCAATTTCATCACAAAACGTTACTGGTAAAAGACCATTCTGCATATGGAAAGAAGGGATTGCAGCAATGACCGATTTCACCAAAGTAACTCGACCAGCAAAAGAAAGGCAATGGCTTTTCCAACCATCCAGTTTTGAACGTATCCTATCCTTGATAGCTCCATAGTCTGCTTTAATATGTCTCCCTTGTTTAACAATAAAGCCTAAATATCTGCCAATACTAGAAGTGCGCTTAAAGCCCATTCTGTTGACAATCCTTGTAGCAACTTGAGTATCAGTATTCGGGGAAAAATAAATCAAAGATTTATTTGCACTAACACTTTGCCCCGACATCTCACAAAAGAGATTAATACAATCCATAATCACCTTAGCTTGCTCCATATCTGCTTCCGCAAAGAGAATGATATCATCTGCAAATAAAAGGTGGGATACACTCGGCCCTCTTCTGCAGACTCTAATAGGCTTCCACGAACCCATAGTCACTTTTCCAGCGATCAAGTGGGAAAGCTTCTCAACACACAACACAAAATTATAAGGAGATATTGGATCCCCTTGACGAATTCCTCTCTGAGGAACTATGCAATCCGAAGCCACACCATTTATCAAGACCCTCGAACGATTAGAAGTTATAGAAGCCATTATAACACCAATCATCCAATCAGGAAACTGAACTTCAATAAGCACTTTATAGATAAAACTCCAACTGAGTTTATCATAAGCTTTTTCAAGGTCCAGTTTGATTGCCATTGTACCTTTCTTTCCTTTTACTCTCCCCATAGAATGAACCAGCTCCTTTGCTACTATAATATTATCCTGAAGCTGACGATTTGGCACGAAGCTAGCTTGGTAAGGAGAAACTAAATTCTCCATTGTAAGCTTAAGCCTATCCACAATGATCTTGCTCATACCCTTATAAATGACATTACACAAAGAAATAGGCCTGAATTGAGAAACATACATTGGCTTAGGAACTTTGGGGATCAAAGTGATCAGAGTACCGTTGACTTCCTCAATGCTGGAAGGGTTTTCTGCATAATACTTGATATCTCTCCAAATCTATTCACCAATAAATTCCCAGTTCTTTTTGTAGAATGCCGCGGTATAGCCATCCTCCCCTGGAGCTTTCGAATCTTTCATAGAAAAGAAAGCTCATCTGACTTCATCTTTTGAAATTGGAGCACCTAAGTTAACAGCAGTTTCATCGTCCACCTTTGGCCAAAGAGTCTGGACCCAAGGACGATCATGGTTTTCTTCAGAAAATAGTTTAGAGAAGTAAGCATTTATTACCCGTGCAATGTTGTTATCTTCTCTAATCAAGTTTCCAGCATCATCTTTCTACTCCAAGATCATGCTCCTTCTACGTCTAACAATTGTTTTCGTATGATAGTACTTTGTATTCCTATCTCCTTGAGCTATCCAAGTAGCACGAGACTTTTCAAACCACAAAAGTTCCTCCTGTTCTAAAACTTGTTCAAGTTCACCCCTTATCTTGCCTTCAATCTTTTCCAAATGGCTTTTATTCTGCTCAGAAATTGCCCTCTGGATACCTTCAAGCCTACCAATCAACCTGTTCTTCTTATGATGGATATTACCAAACACATCTTTATTCCACTGCTTAATAAGAGGAGTGAAATCACGAAGACTATCAACTGTTCTTTGATCCTGACGCCAGTTTTCCTTGATGAAATTGTTAAAAAATTGATGATCCAACCAAAAACGGAAAGGGCGTTCCACCCCATCAACTTTGCTTGGCTCTAAGGTAATAAGGATAGGATTATGGTCACTGTTAATACGAGGAAGCACTCGAACCTGGCCTTCATGAAACATCAACCTCCATTCAGCATTGCTACAAGCTCGATCTAAACGTTTAAAAACTCTATCTAAATGAAGAAATCTTGGTCCTCGCCATGTAAATTTAGAACCTATTCCTTCAAGATCAATCATCTTTATATCAGTTAGAAGAGAAGCAAATTTATTACATCTGCTAGTATCAACTGGAGCACCACCACGTTTCTCACTTGGAAAGGCAATTTCATTAAAATCACCTGCAATTAACCAAGCAACCGAGATATCTTCTGATAACTGAAGTAAATCATCCCAAAGTCTCTTCTGAATTTCTTCTCTAGGACTTGCATAGATAACAGTATAAAGAAAAGCTTGATGATCTGCCAATGTAACACGAACATGAATAAATTGATGGGTCTGTTTTAATGCTTGAACCTGACACCTATCATTATTCCATAGTAACCAAAGACCTCCCGTAAATCCATGAGCATCCTCCACTATTGAATTATTAAAACCCAGCTTTTTTATTATCTGTTTTGCTTTTGAACCACTTACTCGAGGTTCAAGAATAGCTGCCACCTCAATCTTATGCCTTCGAACCATCATTTGAAACGTTGATTTGAAGCACTTTTTAGCCGCCCCGCGGTAATTCCATGTAACTAAAGACATTAATCAATGGTAATTTGGCAGGATTGTGGGTCCATTGCCATCCCATTGTCATTGCACTGAGTTTCAGATTCTGAAATCATCTCCACCTCAATATTGAGCTTATGGTTTATTGGGATATGCTTTCCTTTATCTCTACTTGGATCAGGCGCTTTTGGTTGGGACAAGCCATGATCTAAGCCGTTGATATTTTGACCATCCTTATCCACCTCCATTTGATAACAATCTTTGTTATAATCAGCAACAGTACTCCTAGCCACCATGGAATCTCCACCGCTTTTACCTCCAATGTCCTTACTACTATGAATCGCAACTTGCCTCCTCACAGCATCC